CTGGGACACCTCCAGGGATGAGCACTCCAAATGTCCCTGGGCAGCCCCTGCCAATCCCTGAGCCCCCTTTCCACGGGGAAATTCCTGCTGAAACCCCACATCCCACTGGCACTGCAAAGGACAGGCCTGGTGATGTCTGGCCAGAGCAGCCCTGCCTCCTGCAGTTCTGGTGTTCTCCTCACCAGGGCTGCTGTGGGGTTTTACCTGTTTGTTTCCTTACCCAATCCCATTTTCTTTCCACTGAGCCTAAAGTCTGGAGCTTTTCCAGACTGGCTTCCCAGAGCAGCACGCCAGACTGCCCCCCCAGCATCACTCAGCATTTCATAGGGAGAGGCAAACTGGTGTTGTGATTAATATGTAAAACTCCTAATTAATGGTGGGTCTCAGAGCAGCATGCATAAGTAATTCCTTTGTATTTGATAACAGGGTGTATTGGAGGGGCTCTACACCTCATTATTACCCACCAATTTCCTTAAAGGGTGGGCAGCCCCTTCCTGACAGCCCCTGGTACAGCACTCAAGGGCATGGAAAAACCTTTTAATGGAGAAATGGTTTGGGTGGTGTTGATTCCTTACCAAGGAAATGGGAAGGGGAGTGACCAGGAGCCACTGACTCCAACATCCCCCTTGGTGAGGGTGGGTGAGAGCTCCTCCTTCCTCAGCTGAGACTGTGGAAACACCCACGTGTACACAGAATGGAAAACCATCCATGATTGATTAATTGTGATTTTTATAGGCTGATCAGAGGCGCAGACCTGCAATGGCATCTCCTGGAGCACTGGATCTGCACTGTCTCACTGAGTGGCAAACTCCCCACATTCAGCACCCAACCCAAACAATGGAATTGAAAAACAAAGAAAGAAGAAAAGGAGGCTGGTGGCTGCAGGAATTGAGTCAGGAGGTCTGGGACCCTCCCGGGTGAGGGGCTCGCTGTGTAAAGCTGCTGCAGGAGAGGAGATTTTCAGGAGGGATTTTGGGGAGCCAATGTTTGTGTATGGGGGAGGCCAGGCTGGCGTGTGCCTACTGGAAGTGACTGCGAAGAACATATGGTTTCATTTGATGCAAGAGACTTTGTGGATTATAATTGAGCAGATAATTGGGGAAGGGTGAAGATTATGAGAGGGTGGGACTCAGTAATTATTCAAAGCTGCTTTAAAAGATTGACAAAGTGCTCCTTGACAAAGGCCTGGGAGGAGCCAGAACTTCACTGCAGCCTTTCCTGCTGCTCCAGAAGTCGTGTTTAAGCATGTGTGAGAGATGAGGAGTGTGGTGGTGGGCACTGCTGGGCTTGTAGGTGAGTGCAATGCCCTGGCCATGGTACCTGTGCCCAGCCCAACATCTGTCACAGGCATCTTTTCTGAAAAATCCTTTCCTTGGGGTTTTTCCTCCTGAGAAGCTGGGAGGCCTCAGGAACAAAATGCAAACAATGGTTATCTGCTGCTGTGGAATGCAACAGGTGCATCTGGGATTGGGCTCATGTGGTTGTTTCTAATTAATGGCCAATCACAGTCAGCTGGCTCGGACTCTCTGTCCAAGTCACAAACCTTTGTTATCATTCTTTTTCTATTCTTTGCTAGCCTTCTGATGAAATCCTTTCTTCTATTCTTTTAGTATAGTTTTATGTAATATATATCATAAAATAATCAATCAGCCTTCTGAAACATGGAGTCAGATCCTCATCTCTTCCCTCATCCTGGGACCCCTGTGAACACCATCACACAACATCCTCATCCACAGCAGGGACCTGCTGGAATGCTCAGCGTGGAAATTTCCATGGGGGTGTCCAAACCCACAGATAAAACTGTGGAGCTGACAGAGGGGAGGTTCAGGTGAGATTTTGGGAAGGAATTCCTGGCTGTGAGGATGGTGGCAGCCCAGAGCAGCTGTGGCTGTCCCTGGGTCCCTGCAGGTGTCCAGGTGGGTTGGATGGGGTTCAGAGCAGCCTGAAGGTGTTCCTGGCAGGGATGGGATGAGATGGGCTCTAAGGTCCCTCCCAAGCCCACCATTGCATGGCTCAGTGGTTCTGTGCCTCAGAGTGAGCCCAAAGGTGCTGTTCACACACCTCAGGAGGGGCTGCTCTTTCTGCACCCACATCGCTCCTTTGAGGACGGAACACTGATTTCAATCATTTAAAATTCTGGCCTGTCAAAATATATGTGAATAAACAAATCTGAGCGGGCAAACAACACTCTCATATCCCAAATATTTCTTCTCTTCAGCATGCCTCTCCAGAAAAGCCCGGACGTGTATCTCAAATAATTAGATTTTGTTCAGTAATCAAACTCACTCAGACGGATTCTCTGTGAACTACTTTTATACCCACAATGAGGAATGTGTGTCGTTCCCCGTGCATTTGCATATTTTTCCATAAACCTAAAACCAATCAATTTTGAAGAGTTATGATAATATAAAGAATCTGAGGCAATTACATGTCTTTTAAACAGGGATTCAAGACGTGTTCCACTGGCAGGGCTCATGGAGTAAAGCAGTCAAAAGTTCTTTAACCCTTTTGGTGGCACCTGGGCGAGGGTGCTGTGCTGGGGCTGCTCGTTCCTCCTGGCCTTTCAGTGCCTGGGCTGGTGCTGGCACTGCCCTTGTGTGGCCGCAGCCCTGGTGGCACAGCCCTGCCAGGGGAGACGCCCCAGGGCCCCATAGGCAAATCAGCTGCACCATATTTTCCTCCAAATATCACATCCGCCGCCATATGGGCTGGAACACACGCTTCTCGGGGATTGCATTTCATAAACAGGGAGGAATTATGCAAAGTGCTATAGGTACGGCTTGGAAATGTTTTTTTAAAACAGCCATTTGGTGGAAATGACTTTTTAATGATTTTTCTCTGTGGTTCTGCCTGGCTACGGAAGCCTTTTCCATGTTTGTTAAGTGGCTGAGACTTTCGTGCTGTTAGTGCTCCTATCCAGAGCAGGCAGAGCATCTCTGGGGGCTTGGATGGGCACCCCAAGCTGCACATCCCATCTCACAGGCTTCACCCTGGAGGGCAGCTGTCCTCAAAACCCCGGCTTTGTACAAAAAGGAGATTTTGTTTGCAGTGTATTTGTGGCCATGCTGCACCTCCAGGGACTGGGCACAGGTACAGAGGTGATGCCCACGGGATGGGGCAGCTCCTGAGTGAGCATTTATAGGGACAGTACCCCCACCTGGGTGGCAGCAGTTGAAGCCCAGCTGTCACCTCCCTGTCCATGCCATGCATGTGTCACCCTCACTGCTGAAAGGACGACACACATGCCAGGAGCAGCATCATCCAGGGGAAAGCAGGTGCAGGAAGAAGATATTTCTGCGTGCCTGACAGGGAGGGAAGCGTGTTTGCTCAGAGTATATTGGAGACCCAGGCCCGGGGGAGGTCACGCCTGTGGAAATATTACCGCTGTAATCTCGGCGTGGCCTCGGGCTGCTGTGTCCAACACGGCTGGAGCAGCACCTGGGCCTTCCCCACGGCCCCCTGCCTCCCACAGCCTGCCAGGCTCCCCTGCGCCTGCCTCTGTGTCCATTCCCCAACCTCCCTGCTCCTGGGGGACCCACAGGCCACCCCAGGCCTTAATGGGCATCGTCATGCACCTCTTGTCTTCTCCAGACCCTCATGCACCCCCTCTTCTCCAGAGCCTTGTGAACCCCTTTTCATCTCCAGACCCTCGTGGACCCCTTGTCTTCTCCAGACCCTCATGCACCCCTTGTCTTCTCCAGACCCTTGTGCACCCTTTCTTCTCCAGACCCTCGTGTACCCCTTGTCTTCTCCAAACCTTTGTGCATTCCTTCTTCTCCAGACCCTCATGCACCCCTTGTCTTCTCCAGACCCTTGTGCATTCCTTCTTCTCCAGACCCTTGTGCACCCCTTGTCTTCTCCAAACCTTCAAGGACCCCTTTTCTTCTCTAGACCCCTTGTCTTCTCCACATCCTTAAGGACCCCTTCTTTTCTCCAGGCCCTTGTGGACTTCTTGTCTTCTCCAGGCCCTTGTGGACTTCTTGTCTTCTCCAGACCCTTAAGGACCCCTTCTTTTCCCCAGACTTTTGTGCACCCCCGTTTTCTCCAAACCTTTGTTGATGCCTAGTCCTCTCCAGACCCTCGTGTACCCCTGGTCCCCTCCAGACCTGCTCCTCAGTGGATCATCTGCTCGTTCAGGATTTGGCGAACGCAGGAAATCCCAGGGCTGGGGGCAGGAGGGGTGACAGCAGCCAGCAAAGGGGTTCCAGCCGGTGTCACTGCTGATAAAGGTGGCACTGGCAGAAACGTGGCACAGCAGGCCAGAGAACAGAGCCCAGCCTTTCTGGGCTGCAGGGATGCTCTGGAGCCGAGGAGGAGCAGGAGTGAGCAGTGGTTTATCAGCACCAGCTCCTCAGGTACGAGCCGTGTTTGCTGTGGTTTATCAGCACCAGCTCCTCAGGTACGAGCTGTGCTGCCGTGGTTTATCAGCACCAGCTCCTCAGGTACGAGCTGTGCTGGTGTGGTTTATCAGCACCAGCTCCTCAGGTATGAGCTGTGTTTGCTGTGGTTTATCAGCACCAGCTCCTCAGGTACAAGATGTGCTACTGGCTGGCTGAGCAGGGCAGGGGGCCAGGGAGGAGGGAGGATCTGCCAAAAGCAGCTGCTGCTGTTTGGGAGACCCAGGGCAGCAGCAACACTCCCTGCAGAGCCTCAGTTCATGCAAATTCATATTTATTGGCCTTGTCGTTCTTCTCAAAGAGGCAGAAATTCATTCTGCGTCCCTGTCATTTGTTTCCTACCAGAATATCCTTCACCAGCATTTCCAGTGTCCTCTCCCCGTGCGAATGAGTAATGGGGGAAAGTAACTTTGGAAATGACATTGCAATGTAATCATCCATATTGTGTATTGTGGTTAAAATTGATTAAAATAATATTGAAACTCCCCCAAGGGATTATGCAATTATAAGTCAAGTCCCAAATGGAAAAGGTTTTTGAGAACTTGGCAGATGTCTTAATGAAAATGAAGCATTATAGTAATATATTAGTGCTATTTGTATATTATTGACAGCAGGATCACTAAACTGTATAAATTACTGTCCACAAGAATGGCTGAATTGTTTTTCTTTCAGGAAATTTTTAATCAAATATAATTTCAGAAAAATAATTGTTTAATTTTGGCCTTACCTTTGATCCGCACGTTGATGGATCAATTATTAAACCGAGTTTTAGCCACTCATTCGCTTTGGAAGTTGACACTTTAAATATTTGATTTTGCACCCATTTTGTTTTATTACAGAATAAATTGTGGCGAATGCCAGGGACCATTACATGCAGCTGTGTGATAAAGGTGGTCGGAGGCTCCAAGTTCTGTTTGCTCCCTCCTGGGGCAGCAGTGGGGGTGGGAGCAGGGCAGGGTGGTCCCCACAGGGATGTGGGACCCCTGGGAGCCCCCCTGAGGGCTGGGGCTCCGCTGGGTGTCCCCTGTGCCCCACACACAGCAGCCCTGCAGGGACAAACAGCGAATTCGCATCGGGACTTTCACTCCCATACAGGAATTTCTGTTCCAGTGGTTAGCAAATAAACTGCCTGCCTGCAAGTACATAATATTTTAGTCTCTAATTTTAAAAATATGCTGTATTTTAATATCTTTTTTTAAAACAGATACCACTTTTTATGAAGCACTACATGAGTTGCTGATGGATAAATCACCCAAGCATGGTTAAAGAGACCCTAATCTCCAGATGGTACCAGATCCATTTAATTGTATCCTCTGACCTCATCTCACCTGAGCCTGCATTAAAATCATAATACAGTTCAAGTGTAAAAATGATATAGTGTTTATTCGTCCTGTTTATAGGGGGGCAAACACACAGTTAAATTCAGATGTCGAAAATTAGTGTAGTCATTTGAAAAGGTTGAGTTAGATCAAACTGACTCTCAGCATTTTATTTGCCCCTTTTTTATTCCAATGGCTCTGTGGCTGCAGCTCGGTGTCTCTGAATGAAGGGGGATGCTGAGGCAGAGGTGAGATGGGTTTTGGGGCACGACAGAGGCCTGGGGAGAGGGGTAAGGCACTTGGTCTCATTTTTCATTTTCACTGTGTGTGATGAGGATGGGCCACATGCACCATAAATGCCCTGCAAATATTTTAATATTTGAGTGCCCAAACCATCTCTTCCCTCCGTGGTCCCATCCCCATCCCCAGCAGACAGGGATGCTCCTTCCTTTCTGGCAGGGTGACCTGCACACCCCACAGAGATGCTGCTCCCTCCTGCATCAGTGTTTGTATGAGCCTGCTTTTCCATGGAATCATAGAGCATGGAACGGGTTGGGTTGGAAAGGACCTCAAAGCTCAACTCCTTCCACTCCCTGCCGTGGGCAGAGACCCCTTCCATAAGCCCAGGATGCTCCAAGCTCTGTCCAACCTGGCCTTGGACATCTCCAGTTCCACTTCCCTCCCACTCAGCATCCTCCCGTGGGTGCAGAGCCTCGGGGAGCTGCTCCTCCCCAGGGTGATCCCCTGCACCACACCCTGCCTTGATTCACCTCAAACCCTGCCTGCTCTAAAGTCACTGTTTTTGTATTGGCCAGAGGGCAGACTTTGTGAACTCGTGATTGTGGGAGTAATTAATAATCCTGCTCACCCCGCAGTTAAATGCATGCCTGATGTTCCATGTGAAATCCATGCTCACCTATGTGTTGACATGGCACCATCTCTTCATCACATAAGGGCAAAATGCTTCACCATTGGATGTTTCTCCTTGGAAACCCCAAGGGGGGATGGATGGAAGGGAGGGAGGGGAGGAACACAGACAAATAACCAGAATTATTATGAATGCATTGGCAGAGCCAGGTTAGCAGTTTTACTGCAGATATACTGGATTATGGAGAGAATTGAATAATTTATCCAGCAATTTTCACATAAGCAATATTATTAAAAATGAAGACATGAAAAAAGAGGTTAGTTATAGTGGAGAATATATATAGGCCATGAATAAATGTATTAGGCTGTAAGAGTAGTGAATGTTTTAGTAGGTTTAGACTAGATTAAAAAAACTTGTATTTGATTTCAACTAAGTCCTAAAATATCTGCTGAGAAAAAAGCCCGGCTC